AGAATGATGGTACAATAAAAGCAAATGAGAAAATATTTAGAGGAATTATGGGTGGTCTTATGTATTTGACACATATCAGGTTATGCACTCAGTCAATCTTATTTCAAGATTCATACACAATTCATCTGTACATCATCTTGAAGCAATCAAACACATTATTTGCTACATTCAGGAGACAACCAATTATGAGATTTGGTACAAATAAGTTTCTAGCTTTAATTTAGTTAGTTTTACTGATAGTGATTGGGTAGGTTCCATAGAATATAGGAAGATCACAAGTGAATTTATATTCAATTTTGGGTTTGGAGCAATATCATGGAGCATGAAGAAGCAAGCTAGTACTACATTATCATATTCATAAGCTAAATATATTGCAGCTTCATCAGCTATATGCCAAGCAATTTAGATGAGGAGAAAAAAAAGACTTTCAACAACCTCAATTAAAGACAACATATATATTTTCTGATAATAAATTCACAATATTTATGATGAAAAATCTAGTGTTTCATGATAGATCAAAGCATATAGAACTCCGATATCATTTTATAAAAGAAGTTGTGGCAAAAGGAACTATTGCAATCAAGTATTATTTTACAGAAGATCAAGCTACTGATGGATTCACAAAAGCTCTCAATTTTAAAAAATTTGAGAGATTTCAATCAAATCTTAGAGTAGGAATTTTGCATTAAAGGGTTATGTTTGAATTAATACAAAATAATTTTAATTATTTACGCATTTTTTATTAAAACTTAAACGATTTGATTGTGAAAAAATGTGTCATTTGACTCTTTTGTATTAGTTGGTTTTTAAGTTTTAATATATGTGATCTAACTCTTAGTTCTGTTCGTGATATTGAAGTTAAAAAATAAAATGTTCTGTACATGATCAAGCATTTTCTCTTTTTTTGTTTCTCTGATTTCTTCAATATAAATCACTAGTGTTGATTAATTTATCTTATGGAGATATTTTATTTGACTATAAATTTACTTAAATTGAAAATTTGATGATTATGAAATCAATTTTAAAAATTTTTAATTCAAATTTGACCTAAAAATTGTGTCGAAGCAAGTGTTTTAAAGACGTACCAATGGTTAAGTGATTAACTTAGGTCCATTTCAGTCTGCTCATATTACTGCTCAGCTTATTTTGAGCTCAATTTCTGTTGGAAGTTTCCCTTAGTTCCACCCCATTGTCATCTATGCCTCCAAAAGTAGTGTTGACCGTTCGGCCCTTTGGGCTCTCATTACCCAAATTTGCCCCTTAGATTCTTATGGGTGATTTTAATTGTTGTCACTATGCATCTAAAAAAGTGGGAGGCTCTACTCTTCCTAATAGATACTTATCCAAGCTCAATTCTATGATATTTGGTAATAATTTAATAGATTTGCATTCAGTTGGATGTAAATTTACCTGGTTCAATTAATGCACTGATAATCCCATTTATGTCAAATTAGATAGGGCTCTAGTTAATGAAGCTTGGAAAAGTTCCTTCCCTAGCTCTTTTTGTTCATTTCAAAGCCCTTCTTGCTCAGATCATAGTCCAATTGTCTCACATTCTAGGGAAACTATTCACTCCAATCACATATTTCTTTTCAAAAAATTTTGGATCAATTTTGATAAGTATTGAGTTTTACTTATTGAGGCTTTCCCAAAGCCTTTAACTAGTAACCTTTTATCTTTCTTTTGCAACACCCTCAGACAGCTTAAAGGTGATATTAGAAAGGAGTTTTGGGCCAGCTCTTCCAATATTAACTCTCATCTTGATGAACTCCATAAACTTCAAATGGATTGGTTAGGGAAGATTCATGTTGTCCCACACAACTCATTGCTTAATGCCTCTCTTAAAGGGATTAACTCCATAATTTCTGAATTTTCTAGTATGATAGCATCATGGATTATCCAAAGGGAAAAAGTTAAATGGATAAAGCATGTAGAGGGTGATTTAAAATTTCTCTATGCCAAAATCAGGAGCAAGAACAGTAAAACCTAAGCTGATGTGAACTTATTTGGCTCTACTTCCAATACTTCTAGATCTGATGTGATTTATTCTATTATCTAATATTTTCAAGCCTTATACAACCCTGCTCCTCCTTCCTTAATGGATATGGCTATTTTATTTATTGGCCCTTCTTTTTCTGATCATATATTTTCTTATCTCACTTAGCAGGTTTCTGAGGCAGAGATAAGAAAGTGTTTTTTTGGATCTTCTTCCTCTGCTCCTAGACCGAATGGCTATAATTTTCATTTTTACAAATTAGGGTGGCATATTATTGGTCCTATAGTTTTTAAGGCTGTAAGTTCATTCTTTTTTAAATGTTTTATTCCTAATGGGGCAAAACTACGGCTCTTCCTCATATCCCTAAACACAAGTATGCAACTTGTTGCTTCGATTTTAGAGGCATTGCTTTATGCAATGTCTCTTATAAAATTATCTCTAAGATTATTGCTAACAGGCTTAAGACTATCATTCCTTTAATAATCAGAGGTAATCAAACATAATTTGTTAAATCAAGAGTGTCAACTAATAACATTCTACTTACCAATGAAATTCTTAATATTTCTTATAAAAGGGGTGGCATAAAGTACTTTTGTGCAAAATCAGACATTCGTAAAGCTTTTGATACTATTTCTAGGGAATTTTGTATTGCATGGTTGGTTCAGAAAGGTTTCACTAATAAATTTGTTAGCTATATCAAAGCCTATATTTATGATGTGAACTTCTCCATTATTATAAATGGTGCTCTTGAAGGGTATTTTTCATTATCCGTGGGTTTGAGGCAAGGCTGTCCTCTTAGCCCTTACCTATTCTGTCTGATCATGGATGTTTTCTCTTCTCTCTTAAATAAAGGTGGATTTAAGGGGATTTCTATTAATGGATTCTCTCTTTCTCGCATTCTTTATGCTGATGGGTGTTGGTATTTGGTGAAGCTAGCTTTGACAATTGTACCAAATTGTCCAGAATTCTCAACACATATGTTAATGCCATTGGGCTTCATGTTAATTTTGATAAGAGCTCTATTATGCTCCCTAAGAATTTGAGAAATCAGGATGATATATGTCAAGCCATCTCTATTCATAATATCAATCCTGAAATGTCTTACTTGGGCATCCCACTCTCTTTTAATAGACTAAATGTTACTGATTTTATGCCTCTTATGGAATGCATTACTAAAAAGATATCATGGTGGAAAGTTAACCTTCTCTCGTTTGTTGGTTGTTTATAATTTTGAAGTTTACTATCTTGAATTCCATTGCTTATTGGATCCGAGGATCTATCCTATCCAAAATAGTTATCAAAATTTTTAAGAGATATTCTTCAAGATTTTTGTTTTTGTTTTTTTTTTGTGATTTGTCATCAGCTACAAAAAAATTCATATGGTTTCATGGGATAATGTCTGAAAGCCTAAAATCCATGGGGGCTTGGGTATTCCTTCATTGGCTGCTCTTCAGTATGCTTTCAATTGCTCTGTGATTTCTAAAATGTACAACCGGGCTTCTTCTTTATCCTCTTGGCTTATTCAAATATATAAATCCCCGCGGCGTCCTGCTCTAAATTATGCTTATAATTTCTGGAAATCAATGTGTAAAACAACTTTTGAAGCTAAATCTTTCTTTAAATTTAGAATTACTGCCACAGCTCCTATTTCATTGCACTGGTATTACTGGTGCAACAATGCTACTTTACATGATACTGTTGATAGACACTTTTTGTTGAATGATTTTCAACCTGATACTTCTCTAAAATACTTTATTTTGGGGAATCAGTGGTGTCTTCCTGATTTCCTTCCCATCTTTGTTCGCAAGGCAATCTGTGAAATCCCCATCCACGAAAATTATATTTCCTGATTAATTTGGGATTAATCGACTGATGGCAATTTTGGTGCTTAAGTCAAAGGTTTTTATAATCAATTGCTAAATTGTTAAGCTTGTTTGGCACTCAAAGTATGTATTGATATTCTCTATTTTTGTGTGGCTTTCTATTGTGGTAGGTTTAAAAATGGCTAATGCTTTGCTCAAGAGTAATATCTAAGTCCTGTTACCTGCGGTTTGCGTTTTTCCTTCCCTGAAAGCACGCCTCATCTGTTCTTTGAATGCTCATTCTCCTTCTCTATTATCTCCCACCTTATTCCGACAACTAATGGTCTATTGCTCAAACCCACTGTTTTGCACTTACTTGAATGGATTGATGACAATTTTTTTGCTCAGAAGCCGATTAAATACTTTTATCTATTAATGGCTTGTTTCTCCACATACTTTATTTGGAAAGAAAGAAACAAAAATAGAATCAGAACCACTTCCAATAGCCATTCTACTATTGCTATTAGTATTAAAAGAGTTGTGTTTGAGAAAGTGCTCAAGTGAAAGCATGCTTCTAAAATCATGGAATTGTTATAAAATGAGACCCTCGAGCTGTGCCTTTGTTGCATCTTTCATGATGAACAGATTTCTTTTTGCGCCTCTCCTGTGGATGTTAGTATTTGCGTTGGACAATGATGAGTCCCTTCATACAGGCGCCCCTTGGATGGTCTTCGGGCAACCAGGGGTTCGATTTCTCAATGATCTTACAAATTTTATCCTTTAGTTCAGGCATAAAGCATTTGTGATAGTTTTGTTTTGGTTTTTGGCTAATATTTGTTTTTGGCGAATATGCTCTAATTTTTTGGGATTTACTTGTTGCGGTTTGTTTGTTGACTTGTTTGTATGGTGTTCTTTTTTGGGCTCTCTTGAGCCTGCCTCCTTTTGGGGCTTTTTGTTTTTGTTACTCACTTGTAATTTCTTTTGATTAATATACGGGCTTAGTCCAAAATTTTTTTAAAAAAAAAAACTTTTTTTTTTTGGAAATTTTAGGCATTTGCCCGTATATTAAAAACTAACCATTACAAAAAAAACCAATCCCCAATACAATGGGACACAAAAGAATGCACCAAAATTACAACCAGAGTAAAGAGGCAAACAAAAAAAGCCGGACTCAGGTATTAAAAAAAAAACTTAGGTCATCATTTTCCAATCTTAAAAAAACAGCCCACAACTAATTTCACCATATTGCTTAATTTTAAGGTTCTTTTATGCTACATTGGGACTTGCATCGAATGGATGCTTTGTTACATAAAACAAGGAAGTAACTAAACGACATAAACTGGCATACAACTTTGAGATCACAACAATTCCATAGGTACAGAGAAGAAGAGAGATCAAAACAGCATTTTTGGCATGATCATCTCCTCCGCCCAACACAAGCCTAGCAGATCGGGAGAGGAGCTCCATCCCATTCCTGTAAGCACTCGAGTAGGGGATCAATGGCCTTTCCCTCGCAAATAGCGTTAAAGACCTTGTCGAACTCTTCCCCAGGAGATCTCACCTCCTCGCCAGTGAGGAAACTGGTTCCTAGCTCCTCCCTCACAAACCTGTAAATAGGATAAGACCTACAATCCTTGATCCTGTTCCCGATCGTCGACGTTCCATTCTCAAAAGCCAACCTTGTGGCCTCCACCTCCTTCGGCAAGACTGCTTTCAACTCCTCCTCAAAAGCTGTGATCTTTTGGAAGATGGAGGAGTCAGCTTCCTTCTCCTTCTCGCCATTGTTTAGAGCATGTTCAACCAGCACCTGCCTCAGATTCTGCATCAGAGGATAAGTAGAGCTGCAGGGATCATCGGCATAGGCAAACACATACTCCCTGTCGATCACCTTGATCAAATCCTTCTCGCAGAACCTCGAGGGGTGGAGCTCGCCCTTAACCCCAATGGTGAGCACCCTCTTAGCCACCTGGCTCACCGTGTTCTTCACAGCACTCTTCAAGTTCTCTTCCAAATGTCTCAAATCAATGGCTTGGCAGAGCGCTACCAAGAAAGTGGAAGTCATAAGCTTCAGTATCTCTACCGCCTCCGCCGTCTTCCTCGATGATATCAGTCCCAAAGAGTTCACGTCCTGGTTGTGTTGCTCGGCGCTTTGCACATGGTTCGTCACTGGATTCGCCAGGTACTGAAGCTCAGAACAGTAGGAAGCCATGGCTATCTCTGCGCCCTTGAAACCATAATCCAAGCTCGGGTTTCGCCCGCCGGAGAGATTGGATGGCAAACCGTTGTTGTAGAAGTCATTTACAAGTTCTGAGATTTGAGCAAACATGAGCTTCCCAATTGCGGCAATGGCGAGCCTTGTATTGTCCATGGAGACGCCGATGGGGGTGCCCTGGAAGTTCCCTCCATGGAGAGCAATGTTCCTTGAGACATCAATCAGAGGGTTATCGTTCACTGAATTGATCTCCCTCTCAATAGACTTGGTTGCTGCACGAATTACTTCAATCTGAGGGCCGAGCCATTGGGGTGAAGTGCGGAGAGCATAGCGGTCCTGTTTCGGCTTCTGCAGAGGATCCATTTCGTGGAGCTTCTTCGCCACCTTCATGTAGGAGCTTCCTTCCAAGACATGCTCCATGATGGCGGCTGCCTCGATCTGGCCAGGGTGGTGCTTCAGCTTGTGGGTGAGGTGGTCGGTGTACTCCGGCTTCCCCTGCATTACCTCACAGAAGACAGCAGAGAGAACCTCCGCCATTACTGAAAGGATATTTGCTTCAAAGAGAACAGTGGAGGCGAGACCAGAACCGACGGCTGTACCGTTGACGAGGGCGAGACCTTCCTTAGGCTGCAGTTCGAAAAACCCGCCAGAGATTCCGGCAAGGCGAAAGGCCTCAGCGGCGTCAATGGTGGCACCCTCGGCGGTAATAGCTTTCACGTTGGGGCGTCCGGTTAAGATTGCGGCAATGTAGGACAGGGGGACAAGATCGCCGGAGGCAGTGATGGTTCCTCTCAGCGGCAGGCAAGGCGTGATCTTGTTGTTGAGGAGGTTGGTAATGGCTTCCAGGATTTCGAAGCGGATACCGGAATAGCCTTGGAGGAGCGTGTTGATCCTCACAAGCATCGCCGCCCTGGTTGCAGCTGGTGGCAGCGTGTTATCCTTCCCGGAGCCGAAGATTCCGGCATTAAGGAATCTGAAAAAAAAAAATTGTTGCGTTAAAACGACATCACTTCCAGCCAATCATGAAAATATGCAAACTTGGGCAGATTCTCAACTTCTGATCCAACTAAATTAAACACTCGAGAAAGGAAAAAAAGGGGAATTATTTGGCAAATGAGCTGTGGAAAAAGACAAGCGCAAGAAAACAGACAGCTCGAAATGTTTCCAGAGAAGAAGATACAGAGATTCTAATTGAATAGATGAAACATATAATATAACATATGTGGTAATTACTCTACGCTATTCTGATCTATTGGCTGAAAATTTTCTATTTATGTTTGTCTTCTTTAGCCTAAATGTTAAAAAATAAGAAAAATTCTTTTGCCCATCTGTACTGCAACTGTCCAAAATTACCTTTTGGAAAACATATAATCCAAAAAAGAAAACTAATACATTTTTCATTAAAAATTAAAAAGCGAAGGAGTTAGGTGGGGATGGTGAGAAAAAAATAAATTGGTGAAAATTTAGATCATGACATCACCAATTTAAGCCAACTGCCAGTCCGCTACCAACCACACTGAACCAACCCTACCTAACGTTTTTATTTGGTTTGAATCAATGATGAGATTATATTTTTTCTAATTTTTTTCATTGTTTGTACCTGATGAGTTCTTTCTGAAGTGCGCCGCCCTGCTTCGTCCGGCGGTGCGAGGTGGCACCGAAGCCGGTGGTGACGCCGTAGGTGTCGCCTCCTGAATCCATGCTCTCCATGACCCAGTCGCTACTGGCCTTCACGCCGGCCCGAGCGGACTCTGCGAGCTCTACGGTGGAAGCGGCGCCGGCAGCTACGGCGGCCACCTGTGATATCTTCAGCTCTGCTCCTTCAAGCCTAACCACCGGACTCCGGAACTCCTTTACCATCCGCTTCACCTCGTCGAGATGACTCCCCTCCAACGCCTTCGCCGCCGCCGCCCACCCCAGCTGGTCCCGCCCCTTCAGACAGAGCCCCTCCATAGCCTTGGCGCCGTTCGCATAACCATTTCCCTTCACATGCTCCATAGAAACGAATCTCTCGAGGATCAATACGAAGAAGAAGAAGAAGAAGAGTGGGTGTATACAGAGAGGAAAAATCAGCTCTCGAAGGGAGCGAATTTCCTGAGTTGGGACAGGTAGAGCAGGATTTAAATAGAGAGGGATCGTCGGGGTTAGTTGAGGAGAAATCCTTGGCGTCCAAAAAGATGAGCTGAATGGATGGTCAATATGATGTACACGTGGAGAAAGATCACGAGGCTGGGGTAGAGATGCAGAAGGGTTGGGTTGGTGGCGAGACGGGTTCTTGTATGCACGCCGTCGCTACCCACTTTCCTTTCGTGTTTGGTGTGCGGTCATATTTCCACCTGCAAAAGTGACTCTGAATCGGACTTTACGTACATGGGTATGCTGCATGTGGGCTTTGGTGTTATTCAGAGTCTTTTTGATATGTGAGTGGGTGGGTGGTGGTGGGCTTCGATTTATTAAATATTTTTTTATTTTGTTTTTGAGTTCAGATGTATTAATTGCGTTCTCATATTCGTACAAATAAATAATTACCAAACAGCCGATAAAATTTAGGTAAGCGAGGGTAGGTAGCGTGATTTTTTGCATGATAGACAACTCTTGATTTGTAATATTATATTTTTGTGCTAATTGTTTACATATTATTTTATTTTATTTTTAAATAATTGAATGTGATAATATGAATTTAGTATAAATGAAATTCTATTTGAGAATCTTGATAATGAAATTTTAAAATATTATTAATTGAAAAAAAATATATATTTTTATTAAATATTAGCCAAATTTTTTATATACATTTATCTCCTAGATCATCTTTTTGATACTTTCCTCCATTTTTTTATAAATTGTATATTGATCAAGAACTCTTGGTTTTTCATATTGACAAATTCTCCACCATTTACTATGATGCTCGTGTGGGTAATGTCATAATCTTAATAACAAGTTTTTTGTGCAATGAGAAAAGCTACTCTTTAACCTTTCAAAATGAATTAAAAAATAACATGATAAGGCCTCTATATATTTGTAAGAATATATATGATAAGAATATTAGTGAGCATATGTGAACAATCATCGTGACATTTCTATTAGTAGAGTTGCTGATTTGAGGGATGTGGCCCTTGATCTATATTTGAAGTTATTAGTATTCAAGTGTAGTCACTATCTTTCTAATGAGATCACTGACCATGACAAATAATTCCTAGTACTGAGCGAGTAACCCCTAAGATTGGGTGAGTAGGTTTTATGACTAGATAGGCTAGCCCAGATAAACCTTGACTTTAATGTATTTTAGTGAGTTCATTATGATTTTTTATGAAGTCATCTTCTTCCTCTCTTCAATCCAACCAACTCGTGTCGGATCCTAACTGAATTAGGTCCTTAAGATATTTAAATAAATAATAAAGTTTATAAATAAAATATTGATTGACCCCCTCTTTCGAAGCTTCAACAGCAACCATTGAATGACAACATCGTTGTACCCACACCAACCACATATATTTATTATTAATGAAGTGCTAACTGCTCTATCATGTTATCAATTCGATCATAACTCCACACATAATTGAAATCACATGCATTGCATAAATACACATGTTTTGAATCATATGTATGGAAAAGATGACAGTTAGCAGATGTTTCCTTCACACCAAACTTGTCAGCATTACCACTAATGAGATATGACTTTCAACAAATAATTTTTCCAAGTATTTGATCTATGGTGTTGATGCTGTGAGAGTGATAGATTGGTTTTTTTTTTTTTTTCATATTGATCGGCAAACTTCAAAAATTAAGTGTTACATAGATGAGGATGCTCAGGTGGATGAGTGGTTGTATACTTATAGGCAGAATGCGAAATAAACATGTATGTGAAAATATTGCGCTTCGGTGGTAGATAAAAATTAGAGAGAGTCATTTTAGATGATTTGGTCACTTAAAATACAGACTTTTTCACATTTCGGTTCATGCTCATTGCATTTTTTAGAATGTTGATTGCAGATTTGTTTGTGGGTAATGTCATAATTAGTATTTAGTAACAAGTTTTACAAACCTCACAGAATAGAGAATAAAGAAAATATTGAAAAAGAAGATGGGGGTGATGATGTAGGAGATGTAATTAGAGAAGGAATCTCAGAGATAATTTAGCTCGTGCCAAAAATTGTTCAGAACCTTTATGTGTGAAAATTAACCTTCGACTATTTATTTATAGAGTTTTTGGTGCTATGAGAAAAGCTACACTTTAACCTCTTAAAAATGAATAATAATAAATAAAAAAAAATCATAACAAGGCATATATATATATATATATATGAACAATCATCGTGAATTGTCTTTAGTAGAGTTGCCGATTAAATGTATAACAGTATAAGGTCCCTGATCTATATTTGAAGTCATTAGCACTCAAAGTAGTCACTATCTTTCTGTTGAACTCATCAACCTTGACAAATAGTTCATAACCTTAAACAAGTAACCCTTAAGATGGGATGAGTGGAATCTAAGATTAGGTGAGTAGGTTTTATGGCTAGATAGGTTAGCCTAGTTTAACCTTGGCAAATAGTTCCTAGTGAGTTCATTATGATTTTTGATGAATTCATCTTTTTTCTCTCTTCAATAAAGTCTACAAAAAAACATTGATAGACTCTCTCTTTTAAAACCTTAACAATCTTGATCAACACTCGCCATTGAATGTCAACACCGTTGTGCCACTTATATTTCCTATTGATGAAGTGCTAACTGCGTTATCATGTTATCAATTCGATCATAACTCCACATGTAATTGAACTTACATGCACTGCATACATACGCAAGTTTTGAATCGTGTAGATGGAAAAGATGACAATTAACAGAAGTTTTGTTCACACCAAACTTTCCGGCCATTTCCACCGATGAGACATGGCTTTCAGCCAATAATTTTTCCCAATATTTGGTATATGATGTTGACGTTGTGAGAGCAAGAGATTTGCCTTTTTTTCATATTGATCGGCAAGCTTCAGAAATTAGGTATTACATAGATGAAAATGGTCGGTGGAAGAGTGGTTATATACCTAGAGGTAGAATGCAAAATAAATATAAATGTGATAATATTGGAGTAGCTCTAATCGCAGATAAAAATTAGAGATAATTGTTTTAGATGATTTGGTCACTTAAAACACCAACCTTCTGATGACTCTGTTAGGAGAGTAGATACATTAGATCCGCTATCTTAAGAAAGGTAAAGATAAACCTAAAATGATTTTGTTAAAAAAATAAATAAAAAAGATTTTTTTATTAGATTTAAATAAAAATTCAGCTCTTAATAGAATATAATAGAGAAAAATAATCCATATACTGAATTTTTTAATATTGTTGTTGTTGAGCGAGCTTCAGAAATTATTTGAATCAACTAATTAACCATCCTGTGATGCTACTCAGCTACCCCAAGGAAGTAGGTGGCTCACTGTAGCAGATCAAGACCTGACCCGTTGCTGATTTTTGATAAGGCAAAAAAGATTTAGTGACACGTGTTTCTATTTTGAGCTCATATGGTAGATAATAAATGAAAAATATATTTTAAAAATATTAATTATTATTTTGCTTTTAGTAAATTTCAAATGAGAAATTTATTTTTGTATATTTAAAAATAATATTGATTTCCTTTAATGTATATATAACTTAATGCTGAAATAAATTATTGTTATAATTTTTAATAAAATATAATATAATTTAAAATAATCAAATGGGTATCGTAATTTTTATTTTATTTGTTATTAAAAATAAGATGAATATTTTTTTCCGAAGAATATAGAAAAAAAAAAACAGTCATTAAGAAGAAGAAGACCTAAAGGGCATTAACGTAATTAAATTCAAAGAAGTCGCTATGGCAAGTTGGTCCCTCAATAAGTTTGGAATGTGATTAAATATGAACCATCCAAACAACCTAACACCACTCAAAAAAGAAATAAATGATAAAAAAATTGTTTGGTAAGGATTAATAGATATTCCAATTTTTGGTTGGGGCTTAAATTAGGCATGATTGTGACGGCTTTTTTATTGCTTCTTAAAACGGTTTTAGTGCAAAAATTAAAAAAAAAATTGCTCTAAAACTCCTTTTTAAGAAGCAGTGAGAAAGCCATCCGAAACGAAACTTTAGTTAAAATTTTTGAAATATCTTCATTAAGGCTTCGTTTGGGACAGCTTTTGGACTGCTTCCGAAAAAGTTCATAGACTGCTATGTTAATTGTGAAATGAAATCCTTCAGAAGTCGCGTTTTAACCTTATGTAAATCTTGCATAAGGTGGCAAGTAGCTTTAAAATTTGAGCAAGTTGTTTCGAGCTTTGGACAAATAGTTTTAAGTGAGTTCTCACGAGTGACACAACTCAATCTGGTCTGTTGGTTTGGAGCATCCGCTACTAATCAAAATGTCTTGAGTTCGAGTCTTGCATATGTGATGTGTGAGTGAATTTGTTTAATTGGCTTAAATGTCCCCACAAAAAAAAGGGAGTTTTACATACATACTTAATATTATTCTATTTACATATTTAACACCTAAAACTTTAATATTACATAAATACCACCCATAGTTCATTTTCATACAAAATATGAGTGGTAGAAATGAAATATATGAGTGGTAGGAAAGAAATATAAGTGGTATATTTGATATTAAAATAATATAGGGTGGTATGGATGTAATATTAAAATTTTAGGTGTTAGATATGTAAATAGGATGTTATAAAGTGGTATGTATGTAAATTTCCAAAAAAAAAAAAAAAAGTTCTCATGAGTAAGCTCCCTTGCGAGATTTTTCGTTAGCAAGTACCCTTAGGCAAGTAGCAATGAGTGAGTACCCTTGGGTGAATTTATATGGTTGGCTCCATAAGCCGAATTCATTATTTTGCATTAACTATAGCAACTTTAATAGGCCGACTTCTATAACCAAGTCAACAAGCCTTGGAATTGATTTGTTAAATCGTACCAACTTACTCATAATTCAACCAATGGGGCTATTTTGGTGTACAACTGGCATTTTTGCAAGTGGATGCAAGATGTGCATCACACGTTTCTTATTCCTAATTAAATTATATGATATAAGACATTAGATATATAACTATTAATAGGTG